ACAGCCAAGTTGCTCCTCAGAAGACAAGATGTTGAGACTTTGTCTCTCATACTTTGTATATATTATTAGGAGGGACTAGTCCCTGGATAAGGACATCATGCTTGATAAAATAGAGTGTGGGTGAAAAAGAGGAAACCTCCAAAGAGATGGACTGATTCAGTGGTAGCAGAAATGGGCTCATGCATAATAACAATTGTGAGATGACACAGGCCCAGAAAGTGTTTCATTCTGTTGCATATAGGGTCACTATGGGTTACAACCAACTTGATGGTACCTAACAATAACAACCAACTTCTTCAGTCTGAAATTGATCAAACATGTAACAAAGAAATATTGATAATTTCTGGTGATTGGAGTGCAAAGTTTGCAAACAAAAAAGAAGGATCAGTAGTTAGAAAATAAAACCTTGGTGATAGAACTAATGCTGGAAATAGCATGATAGAATTTTGAAAGTCTAATGACTTGTTCATTGCACATGCCTTTTCTAAACAACATAAAAGATGACTATACACATGGACTTCACAAGATGGAACACAAAGAAATCAAATTGACTACATCTGTGGCAAGAGATGGTGGAAAAGCTCCATATCATCAGTGAAACATGGCCAGAGGTTGCCATCAATTTCTCAGATGCAATTCAAGCTGAAACTGCAGATGGCCTGGCTCGGTACATTAAATCCATCTGATAGGTGTTGGGTAGAGAAGAAAGGCTAAGGTGTACACTTATGGATTACACTTTCAGAAATGGTTTTCTTTTAACATCTCCCTGGGGCTAACATTCTATATCTTAATAATCATAAACTTTATGAGCCTATTTTATAAAATCATAAATTTTATAAGCCTATTTCACTATGTAAGGAGCTCTGGTAGCATAGTGGTTATGAATCAGGTTGCCAAACTCAAGGACAGCAGTTCGAAACTACCAGCTGTTCCGCAGGAGAAAGATGAGGCTTTCTGTTCCCGTAAAGATTTACAGCCTCAGAAACCCTGTACAGGGTCGCTATGAGTCGGAACCAACTCCATGGTACTTAACAACAAACAACAACAGTTCACTACATTTGGTACTGCTTGCCTCCATAGCAACCAATTTCTTTCTACTCCACTCATTACCAATCAGAACAATTTTGCTTGGATGACCTATAAGTGTTAACATCTTTAACTTCATATTTGAGAATCATATAAAGAGAAGAGATTTTTTAAAGGCAGAGGTATAACCTAATTGATGGTTTAAAAAGGCAAAGGTATACCTAATAGATGGTAAAAGTAAGTATCCAACTGTGAATTAACTTAGCTAAGGACGCAAAACTACTGGCAAAACAAGAACTTGAAGTCATAAGTTCTCTACACTATTTTTCTTTATAGTTAGTTTGGTGCCAGTCTTAGATTGTGTTTGTAGCTTTGACCCTTTCTCCATCACCTTACAATGGTATGTAAATTTTTATCCTGAACATAGATTTTCTATTGGTCCAAAGAGCTTCATGTTTCTCTCTGCTTCTGATTAAGCACCTGGCTTTGATTATTCCCTTACAGGCATCTTGTGAGCCCCAGCAAGAGGTAAATTCTTGGTAAGAGCTATGCTAGATCTGTCTTGCTTAGCCATTATGGCATCTCATAATTGAGATGTCCTGAGATGATCTGGGCTTATATGAAGTCCTAGGGTACCTGGAGGTAAGTTGGAGCTTTCTAGAGAAAGGTTTGAGAACTTTTACAGATATGGCGTAGATCAAGATATTCTATTCTTCTGCTATTGTGAACTTAGTCTACTAAGCATGCCCAAGGGGATTGCTTTATCCTTTCAATAAAGAGTATGTATGTTCTCTAATATGTAGCATAATCTCGTCATTGTTCTTGTTGCTGTTGTTACATGCCAGCTAGTTGATTCTGACTTATAGCAACTCTGTATAGGGTTTCTGAGGAGCAGCTAGCTGGTGGGTTTGAACTATCAACCTTATAGTTAATTCAGTGCTTATTCTACAGTGTCACACCAAGAATTCCAAATCTCTTTATTAGGAAAGACAATAATAATTTACAAGTTTAAACACTTCTTGTAACGTGAAACCATAGAACGTGTTTGATATTTAAAGATCTATCACCATGCAACATCAGAAAATATAAGTGAAAACAAAGTTATGGATGTGGAGTGGAGAATTTTTCCAACTGTACTAAATATTGTGTTGGAGAACATTTCTTTTTAATATATATATGTTGTTGTTGTTGTTGTTAAGTGCCTTCAAGTCGGAGCCGACCCATAGCGACCCTGTACAGGGTTTCTGAGGGTGTAAATCCTTACGGGAGTAGAAAGCCTCATCTTTCTCCCGCGGAGCGGCTGGTAGTTTCGAACCACTGACCTTAAGGTTCGCAGCCCGATTCGTAACCACTACGCTACCAGAGATATATATATATATATATATATATATATAGTTCTGGTGTGGCACTGTGGGTTAATGCACCAGACTGCAAAGCCGTTTGAACTTCAAGGTCGGTGATTCAAACTCACTAGCTGCTCCTTGGAAACTCTATACAGTGTTTCTATGGGTCAGAATCAACTCGACAACACTCAACAACAACAGCATATATATACATACACACATTTCAAGGGGATTTCGAATTTAAATATGATAAAACCAACAAAAAAAGACAGATAAATATATGCTGATCGAATTTTGAATTGTGAAAAGCATTTTTTACCCTAAGAGCAAAGGCAGACCCTAAAATAAATGGTCTGACAAAAATACAATTGTACATATAAACTTCATTATGTTAAAAATTACATAAAAGCAAAACTAAAAGGTAAATGTCTAAAAGACAAAACATTAAGAGCTTTTCTAAGCTAAGGCTTAGATAAGGCTTGGCACTGTGGCAGCAGACATGGGCTCAAGCATAACAACAATTGTGAGGCTGGTGCATAACTGGGCAGTGTTTCATTCTGTTGTGCATACGGTTGCTGTGAGTCACAGCTAGCTCAATGGCCCCTAACAACAATGAACCAAAGCTGTGTTGCAGTTAATTATTTCATAACGCCTTTACTAGTCATTGTCTTTGTAAACTCCCACCAAACAACTTTTCCTGATGGATCTAGGTAAGAGAAATTGAGTGAAAATGCTAATGGAATATATGATTCCATTGTGAGTGATTGTTAATATGGCTAATTGTGACAGTAAACACTTGTAACTCTAAAATGTGTAGAAAATGAGCCATCTCAAAAGCAAGAATGGGGATATAATTACCATCAGGGAAGAATAACTGGGAATGCAGTGTGTCCTTTGGTCTCCAAGATCACTCGGTGTTGAACCTGGTTTGGACCCAGGGACAGAAAGCTGTGACATTAGAGAAGGAGCAATGGAGCGGCAGAGGAACAGCAGCACAGAACCAAAAGTCCAGAGCACAGTAAAGAGCAGTGGACTCCACAGCTCAAGATGCAAGTGAAGCGGAGTGCCTTTGGGCACTCAGTGGAGTGCTGTGCCTGAGGAACTAGGTTTGTTGACAAAGCTAGAGCTGAATGACTTCAGGCTAAGACTTTATAGGTTAGTGGACTGTGCTTCTGAGCATTTACCAGCAATGGTAGAACAGTTTTGTAGCATTGCCTGAGCAGAGCAGAGACCAAGGGGCCAGAGAGAGGCTTGTCTGCTGGGCAGGGTCTCCTGACCAAAGAACTGAATCCTGAACATTTCTGGTCCTGCATTGTAATGTGTTCACTCCCCTAATAAACCTCAGAACTATGAATGTGTTGTCTGAGTTCTGTGTGGCTACTGCAATGAATTATCAAACCCAGTTGAGTAGAGAGTGCTGGGGGAGGGATGGCTGGTGTCATTTTTGCAAAGGCCATAATGCAAAATCAAGGCCATTAACAATCAATCACAGAGGATAAATGGACCAAGGTTTAAGACATTGAGCTTCATTAGTAATGAAATAAAAGCATATTAAAATGAGAAACCATTTTCACCTATCAAGATAGTAAGCCTTTTAAAAGATAAAAGCAGCTGTGGCAAGGATTGAGAAAACTGCCTCTTTTACACATATACCTGCTGGTGGGAATATAAAAGGCTGCAGTCTTTCCAGGCAGCTACTTGTCATTATGTATCAGACTCATTTAAACATGCCTGGCGTTTGACCCAGAATGTCTAATTCTGACTGCTTTTTCTTGAGGAAATTATCAGAGGTGACAACCAATATTTATGAATGAAGGTATTTATGTAAGCATGATTAGATGATTTAAATACAATTTGTATTTATGCAATGTATACTGTGAAAAGATAAAAATTCTGTTTTAAATCCCCAGGTCCCCTGACATGAGCATATCAGCTTCTACATAAAATTTACACAATCTGTAAAAAGGTGATTGTTTTTTATACTTATTGTTCCAAATACTACCCTCAGGAAATGATAACAGACAAAATCTTCTTGTTAGTTGAGCATAAGATTTGCAGAGGGGTAAGGAGACCTTGCTTCTTTAAAAGCTCAAGGAACACTGATTTAGACATGAGAAAGTGCTACTGATATATGAGAATAAAATTTTCACCCTGTGTACAATAGTTAAGAACTTGGCTGCTGATCAAACGGTTGCCAGAGTCAATCCACGCAATGGCTCTTCAAAAGACAGACCTGGTGATCTGCTTTCACTGAAATTGTTGTTGCTAAGTGCCAGCCAAGAAAACCCTATGGGGCAATTCTATCCTGTCACATGGCGTCACTATGAGATCGAGTGTACTCCATGGCACTTACTAACAACAGACTAAAAAGCAACTATAAAATGATGTCTATATTATGATCCCAATTTTGTAAGATGTGTGTGTGTGTATTAAATCTACAATGAGATGTTAACAATGGTTCTTTCAAGGTGGCAGGAAGACATTTGATTCTTATTCTTTTCTTGCATTTTAAAAAAAATTGTCTAAATTTCCTACTGTAATCATACATGCAGAAAATAATAAATGTTTATTAAAATGATTGGAAGGAGAAGCTGTCTTAGTAAAGGCGATAAGAAGACTTCTGAGTCTTACTTTGCTTCCAGAGCTAGAGCAAAGATGCCAGCAGCCAGGGGTGCGGAGGCCGAGGTGCCCGTGTGTGTCTCTGTGCAGTCATTGTGCAGGTCAGCACTTGTCTGGATGGCAGCAGGGAGGAGAGAAAGGCAGAAAGAACATGTGAGGAGTAAGGTCTAGTCCCCATGGGGTCACCATATCCAGCATTGCATCTGCTACCAACAGGAAACTCAGCTGATTCCATTCCCTACTTCCTCCTCTAAAACACTGGGCGGATATTTGCCATCTGCTGATATTTTAGTTCACTCTCCTCTAGATGCAACTTGTCTATAATTCTGGCATCATGATGCCTTTTCTGGGGATGAAGTACTCCCACTCTGAATATTTTCTCTTCTGAGATTCCCAAACGAAATGCTGTCTATAAAAAAGGGGACTGTTTCACAATCTCTGTGAATCATGCCGGCCCATTAATCATCAGGTCCATTGTGTTTGGTCTGGCAGATTTAGAAAGTTCTGCCTCATGCCAGTGTCATCACTGGAGGGCTGTAGGGAGGTGCAGACCACACCTGGTGACACTGTCAGAGGGGATGACACCACAATGACTATAAAGTTTATTTTCAGTATTTCAGCAGAAATTTAATTTCAATAAAAATATACCTGTAGTTAAAATAGGAGTTTGAGTGGTACAGTGGTTAAGTGCTTTTGACTGCTAACTGAAGAGTCAGTGGTTCAAACCCACAAGGTGTTCCATGGGAGAAAGATGTGGCAGTCAGCTTCCACAAAGATTTACAGCCTTAGAAACCCTTGGGACAAGTCTACTTTGTCCTACAGGGTCAATGTGAACTGGAATTTGAGTCACTGGCAATGGATTTAGTTAGTTATACCAATAAAAACATTTTTGCTAATCCCAACTTACATGCATCAATATACCTACAAGGCTAAAATGTTATGCTAATCTACTTTTTGCATCTCTGGTCAGATGGGTCTTTATTACCCAATTACAATAACTCTGATCTGCATGCAATATACGCACAGTCTATTGTTTTTATTGTTACCAGTGTTTTGACTCTCACTGAATCTGTCAAATTTTCTAATGTGTTAGCTACAATATTGTGGTAATTAGTAGTTAGGAACCTATATCAATAGCAATTTGGAGAATGAAGTAGAAATTAAAAGAAAATTAGAAAAAAGTTCTAAAAGACTTCTACTTGGTTACTAAGAATATTTAAAATAATAATGTGATTGAATATAGAAAGATTTTACAAAACAAATTTGCTGTTAGTATTCATATACTGTAATACATATGGCATGTCATCGATTGTAAGTAGATCATATTTGATTCTCTGATGAAAATTGATAGCAAACAATATTATGAAGGATTCTGTATGGTCTTATACAATGGAGATCCACATGGGCAAGAGGAAGGGGAAGGCATCATGAATTTCTGCACAGAGTAACACCAACTCTAGTGACATGAATGTTTCGCACAAATTTCTCTTTTGCCTTCAGATTGACATTTAGCTGCCTTTTCAGCAAAATAATGTAACTCCTCTCAGATCTCAGTTACTTCAACCACTTGCAGAACATTTGCTTTGTATGTAGATTGCATTCACTGTTGACTTGATTTGATGCTCAAGTGTTAATGCTAGCATTTGCAGTTCCAAGAAAACAGTGGAGTTCTCAAATGGAAATTGCACTGGATTTAGATCTGGGTTCAAATACTGCTATTTTTCAGATAAGTACTATGGGTCAGTCACTTGATTTCCCTATCTGTAAAATGAGGTTGATATTTCCTGACATGGATTCTCAGGATTAAATTAGATCCTGTCTGTAAAAGCATTTTTACACAATATTATGGAACTTGAGAAATGGTCCAGGCTAATTTAGGGCAATGAAGAGATGAAGGGAGGAAGAAAAAAAGTTTTCAAATCAATCTGCCTTTACAAGAAGCACTGCTGGTTTAACAAGTAAGTAGTTGGGCCAATCGATTAATAGCTAGACACCCACCCAGGCCCCAGCACTATGATTTTAGTGTGGGAGGCAGGTGTAAAAAAGAATTTGTTCTTTTATCACCTCTTTTGGCTTCCCACTTGGAGTTGCTAATTCTCTCAAGTTACAGTGGCTGTGCTCCGGGGTGGGCTACGGAAGCAAGACTGCCCTTTTTTACCTGTTGACGTAAGTAAGCCCCCAGAGATGACTGTACTGAGGAAGAGGCTTGCGTAAGAAAAGACTATGTTATTCCAACTGTCTCTAACAGGATTCAGCAGCTTTCTTTCCCATGGCTGGCTGATAAAGGAGAGAGCTTTACAAAGACTGAAACTCTTCCTCCTGCTTCAATGTAGGGCAGCACCAATGAGGGACTGTCTATGATGTGGTGACTCTGAAATGAAACCAGCCATTATCTGAAAGGAAGCCCTGGACACCCACGAGGATAATCACCAGTTGAGGACTTGGAACATAAGTAGATCAGATGTCTGAAATCCCCTTTTCAAAAATCACACAAAATGTTTCTTCTTTCAACCCTAAGACAAAATGTCACTAGTAGCATAGTGGATTATGAGTTGGCTGCTAACCTCAAGGTCAGCAGTTCATATCCACCAGCCGATCTGAAGGAGAAAGGCTTTATGGAAAGCTTTCTGCTCCCATAAAGATTCACAGCCTTGGAAATCCTATACAGGGTCACTGTGAATTGGAACAAACTCCAGAGCATGCAACCACCACCACTATGATTTAAGTAATTGGAAATATGGGCTTGAGGTGGGAGGGGCAGTACATGTAAATTGACATCACAGTTTTCCTGCCTAAACTAGAGGACATTACAGAAACAGGCAGTATTACAGACTGTACAAAGAAGATAACAGTGCCCAAGATTTTGCTGAGATGCCTTTAATAAGAATTATACACAAATGCCAAAGTCTAACTGTTATGGGTTTTACCAACAATCTAATTGCTTCCTGACTTGGTATTTCATTGATATTAAGTTCTGCATGCTATAGCTACTTGGTTCATTCTTTGTCAGGAGTTAAACTAGGGGCTTTAAATTTCAAAATGAAAAGTGTCTCTCATTGGAAAAGCCTTGGAATGGCCCTTCATCATCAGGTCCTTTAAGGGAAATCCAATAATTGCCCTTGGCAGTCTGACTCATGGAAGAGCAGGCACAGCCAAGTGTGGGTTGCAGGATCTCTCTGAGCACATAACCCCCCTGAGCTGCTAAATCGGATGCTGAGAAATTCACCTCAGGGGAAATTTAGACTGTTATTTTCCTGTCTGGCCATCCATTCTTAGGAGACACAACTTGTGTATGCTCTGTATTTTTATCATCCGTTAAAGAGCAAGTCAGACCACCACATCCCTGCTATTAAAGGATCAACAAACACAAGGGTGATAAAGCCCCTACAGTTCTGAAATCTCCTTTATGGCTCTTTTCAGGGAGGCCTCAAACAAGCAAAGTGGACATGTGGCATCTCCACAGTATGTAATGACAGGTTTGGTGGTTTCCCAGGCAGAGGTTGAAAATGTCAGAGAGGCAAGATCATCTTGGCAGAAGTGTTATTATCCCTGAAAGAGAATGTCCCAATACATGCCAGCCTTTTAAGAAAGTAAGCATTAAGTCTCCAACTGAGCCATCAAGCTTAAGCAAATCAATTTGACCAAAGGTCAGTTCTGAGGATCTTTCTGAATGCAATCATGCTCTCCTACCTAAGCAGAGAGAAGTAGACAAAAACCACATACAATTCGCTGGTCTGTGTAATCCCCGCTGCTGTAAGAGGTGGCCAGAGTCGAGGAGCACTTCTCGGCATACCAGGGGGAGAGGCCTTGCTGGGAAGCACTGCTGATGGAGATGGTGTAGATGCTGTCCGTGTAGCCATCACAGTCACAGTTGTCTCCCTGACGACCCCCGTTCCCTGAAGCCCAGACGAAGATGGAACCTTTGCCTTGTCTCCCCTAAAGGAAAAGCCATAATATAGACCTTGTTTGTAATCAGCTACTAACCTAATGTTTGCCCATTTGAACCCACCCAGTGGCACAAGGTCTGGGAATCTGCTTTTATAAAGATTATATCCAAGAAAACCCTCTGGAGCATTTCTTCTCTGTAATCATGAGTTGCAATTAACTAGATGCATTTCTTTTTTAAAATAAAATTTATTATCATCTATGACATCCCAGGGTGGTACAGATAGTTAACATATTCAGCTGCTTAATTTCAAGCCATCCAGGGGCACCTCAAAAGGTTTGATGATCTATTTCCCCAAAATTCAGCCATTGAAAACCTTATGGAGTATAATTCTACTCTGACACACATGGGAGTCATTGTGAGTCCGAATCAACTCTACAGCAACTGTTGGATTTTTGTTGGTTTGTTTTTGTCATCTACTGTGATATCCCAATAAAACCCCCAACAATCACACATAGGCATGACGTTCTTAGAGAGAGTTATGTGGAGTCTGTTTTTGACTCTACGTTCTCCAGAGTCAAGGTTGAAAATATGCAAAACTGAAAAGCCATCTAGCTCTCAGCTCTCCTACCAGTCATCCTTCATTATGGCCCTATGTGGGACAAGCAATACTGCTTTTATTCTTTTTCTTTATTATGAGGATTCATACTCTGGCCTTTACTACTTGCTCAGAGTTGCTGGGTAGTTGAAGTAATAAAATACTAGACTATGTATTGAAAGGTTGGTGGTTTGAACCCACCCAGCAGCACTTCAAAAGACAGGCCTGGGAATGTGCTTCCAAAAGGTTACGGCCTTGAAAACTCTAGGGAGCATTTTTACTTCACACACATGAGGTTGCCAAGAGTTGGAAAAAACTTGACAGCAACTAACAACAGCTACAGTACTTGCTCCGATTTTTCCACTCTTCTCTAGGCTCTGGTAGCATAGTGGTTATGAATCGGACTGCGAACCTTAAGGTCAGCAGTTCGAAACTACCAGCCGCTGTGCAGGAGAAAGATGAGGCTTTCTGCTCCCGTAAAGATTTACAGCCTCGAAAACCCTGTACAGGGTCGCTATGGGTTGGAACTGATTTGACGGCACTTAACAACAACAACAACTAGGCTATGCTACTATGTTTGAATCTTTGAACTTCTTCTCTTTCTGTTTAAGTCTTCTGGCTGACTGATAGAAAGCTACAATCAGGCATTATTCAAATCTGCTTGCAGCTGCATTAAAAGGAACTGTCAATTGAATGGAATTCATCAAGGCCACTCTTTCTATGATTTTCCAATTTGTGTTCACCAACATTTCTATGTTTATTCCATCCTGTGGAGTACAAACCCTCAGAATCAGTGCAAGAATTCAATAACTCAAAGGAATGCAATAACACAAGTGTTCAGAAGGAATGTGCATAGTGGAAGATGGCTGTTGGCTATCTTTGAGAACCGTGAAAAGACTTGACAAGAAATTCACAACCACCCCCTGTCTCTTAGTATGATCAAGTATTCTTCTCTTTCCCTCATATCCAAATGGGCAGTTTCATCTCAGGAGGAGCATCTTACCTGTTTGACACCATATTCAAAAGCCTTCTGAGCTAGTCTTCCAGGCCCCTCCACAGTTTTTCCGTCATCATTAGGGCCCCAGCTTGCACTGTAAATATCCACATGTCCGGGGTTGAATCCTATTGAACTGGCCTCAATAGCATCAGTTACAATGCCATCCAGCATTCTTATGCCTAATCAGTAGTGAAAAACAAAACAGATTTGTTGATGTCAGTGTGTATATATCAAAAGGTACAATGCTCTTAGGATTTACCTTTTGAATAAACTTTCAAAAGAGTCACAGAGTAACCACTGGCTGTCCTAAGTAGCCATGACCTATGGCACAGAAAGAAGGTACAAGTCACTATCTCGAGAGGCAGTCTTTTCTGCCCATTAGAGAGAACTAGAGGCACTGTGCAGATAGTCATGGCAATTTGTCCCATGTAAGGCTTTGCCCAAGATATAGCCCTGAGGTTGAGAAGGCATGGATTGTTGGACAACAGGATGTGGCCATGGGTATTGCTGATTATTAAATATCTCATGTTTCCCTTTCTTTCACCACCCATGACAAGATAACTTTCATAAAAATCCATAAGAGAGCCCTCTTTTTAGTCCACTCCATTAATGGCTGCAGCCTTGCCTACACCATACAAAGGAGCAGTTCAGAAACCTTGAGGTTTGAAAAGATCTACACACAATAAGAAACTAATAAATAGGAAAAGATCCCTTATTTCTAAGCAGTGATTAAAAATAACCCAGAGGCCATTTTTTTATGTGTTTCTTCAGAAACATTTTCAAGGAACAAGCTTCCTTTTCTTCTAAATAATCTTAAGAATGAAATCATTGCTATGTCTGTAACTCCTAAGGGGGAATCATTTTTCATCAGGGGAAGGCTGTTGCAGAGCTGTTTGTGCTTTCCAGCAGACTGTCACCCATTGTCAGACTCAGGAATTGAAGAGCCAGGCAAACACAATTTAAATAGATACAGACAGTTACGTGGTTCTGTCTTCAGGTTAATGAAGCAATGAAATACACAGCCTTATATTTTCATACTATTATTCATATGTAGCGTAGTGGTTACGAATCGGGCTGCGAACCTTAAGGTCAGCGGTTCGAAACTACCAGCCGCTCCGTGGGAGAAAGAGGAGGCTTTCTACTCCCGTAAGGATTTACACCCTCGGAAACCCTGTACAGGGTCGCTATGGGTCGGAACCAACTCGATGGCACTTAAAAACAACAACAATTATTCATATGTATTGTGTAACAAAGGTGGAGGGGAAAAAAAAGCTTGTCATTGATAATGTAAATGAAAGTCAAGCTTGAAAAAAGAAACTGTTAAAAAATTCATTAGGCACTAAAGCATTGAAGTTTTGTTATTGTTAAATGCTGTTGAGTTGGTTCTGACTCAAAGCGAACCTGTATAGGTGAGTTTGAACCATCAACCTTGTGGATACCAGTCCAGTGCTTGTCCTACAGTGCCAGAAGTAATAATCAGTAAAAGAATTACTGGGCTTGGAATCAGAAGTTATAGTTTTCAATTCTACATGGCTACAAACTATCTTCTGTTAGCTTAAGAATCTTGTTTCTAACCCCTATTCTCTAACAGGATGGGATCATATGATTCACTCCCAATCTGTAGCTATCTAATGTTGTTGTTGTTGTTGTTGTTGCTAGGTGTCATGGAGTCAGTACCGACCCCTAGTGACCTTATGCACAGCAGGACGAAATACTGCCCGATCCTGGGCCAACCTCACTATTGTTGCCATGCTTGAGTCCATCAATGCTGCCACTTGGCCAGCCCTTAAAAAGGAATTCATTTTGTAGAAAACATAAGTGTGTGTTTCTGTGTCATTTTATTTAGTTTAACACATGGCACTTTGAAAATGTTAATACCAAATGATACTTGACATTGAATGTGTGCTGTATCAGTGACAGTTGCAATGTACATGCCACCCACCCATGCTAGTGAGTCAATTTCAATTCATAGGGTTCTATAGAACAGAGTAGAACTGCTCCCTTTGGTTTCCAAGACTAAATCTATGTGGGGACAGACAGTTTCATTTTTCTCCTGTGGAGTGTCTGGTGTAATTGAACCACTGACCGAGAAGTTTGCTAACTTAACCCAACACTTAACCCATTAGAGTTCTTTTTCTATAGGTCAAGATATACTTTGATTTGATTTCTCTAAAGGAATACCTAAACAAACTGCTTAATGGGTTTTTACTGTAAGGACATGTTCTACAACTGACCTTTTTGTTGTTTTAGTTTTTGAAAAATAATCTAAAAGTCTATAATATAACTGTGAAAGCCTGAGGTCAAGAAAGTATAAACAGGAGAGACATGTGATAGTTCCTGCAGATCTACTCTCCTCCCATCTCCATTGGAACAAGAACTACATCAAAGGCTCCCTATAGCTCCACCTTCCAACTAAGTTCAGGTAACTGACCCTGCATAGATGGAGGAGAGTGAAGGATCTTTCCTGGCCCAGAAGTAGCTCCCTGGTTGTATTCAAGGCCATGGCTGCTGCCCAATGGCTCTCTGGTAGAGCCTCAGCTCTCTCTCTAGTTTCTGCTGATCACTCCTTCCTTTTGCACTTCAAGACCTAAGGATGGTCCCATCTGACTATATTTCTCTTAACACTTGTGAACACTTTCTTTATTAAATTGTCCTCAATTATCCTGATGGAGTTTGCTATAAATTTCCTGTAAAGTCTCTGACTGAAACAACTAGAGATTCGAAATTCTTACTCTCAAAAATAATCTTTGGCTTTTTAAGATAATAGTTTTGTATTCGTTTTTATTTTCTAAACTCTTTTTAAATATTTTTTACTATGATGTAAAGAACTATAGAATTGAAAGGCAGGGAAAGTCGTTCTGTAAATTCACCTTAAACCTGGTGGAGCAGTGGTTAAAGTGCTTGGCAACTAACTGAAATGTCAGTGATTTGAACCCACCTGCCAATCCACAGGGGAAAGATGTGGCAGATTGCTTCCTTAAAAATTTTTAGTCTTTGAAACCCTACAGGGAAGTTTTATTCTGTCTTATGTTGTAGTTAAGTGCCATCGAGTCAGCTTCAACTCATAACAACTCTGTATAGGGTTTCTGAGGAGCGGCTGGTGGGTTTGAACTGCCAAACATATGGTTAGCAGTCCAGTTCTTATTCTACAGCCTGACACCAGGATTTCCCTGTGTCCTATAGGGCCACTATAAGTTGGGATAGATTTGACAGGAATGAGTATGATTTTAGGTTTCTGTCCTCTTAGCAAGCACTCAATTAAAAAAAAAAAAATCTAAATCTAAATCAGAACATATAGAATATCAGATTTGGTTTTAAAAAAAAAAACTATCCAAAATCTGTTCCCCAACCCCCAAAAGATGGATGGGTTATATCCAGCTATTTACATTCTAGAAGAACAGATTTGATGCATTAGACACTAATGACAGAAGACCTTAAGAGTTGTGGGATAATATTAAAAACATACAGGAAGAAAGCAAAAGGTCCCTAGAAAGAAATGAAACAGAAGATCAAAATGGATGTCAGAACAGACTCTGAGACTTACTCTCTAACCTAGAGATGCTAAAGTGAATGAAAGAAATGAGGAAGTCAAAGAGCTGAGCAGAAAACAAGTGTTAAAGGCAGCTAAAGAAGAGAAACTCAAGTATTATAATGAAATGTGCAAAAATCTGGAGTTAGAAAAACAAAAGAGAGGAACACATCCAGCATTTGTTAAGTTGAAAGAACTGAAAACAAATTCCAAGCCTGGACTTGCAATATTGAAGGTTTCTAAGGGCAAAATATTGAACCATGCAGAAAGCTTAAAAAGAAGATGGAAGGAATGTGCAGAGTCACTGCACCTAACAGAAATGGTCACTGTTCAACCAATTCAAGAGGTAGCATATGATCAAGAACTGATGATACTTGTTGCACTGAAGATACTTCTGAAAAACAAAACACTAGGAGTTGTAGGAATATAAATTCAAATATTTGTATTCTACAAACTGAGGGAGGATTGAGAGTACTCAGCAATCTATTGCAAGAAATTTGGAAGACAACAAGCAGTCCAACTGATTGGAAGACACCCATATTTGTGCCCATTTCAAACAGAGGTGATCTAATCAAATTCAGAAATAATTAAACAGTATCATTGATAACACATACAAGTAAAATTTTACATAAGATGATTCAAAAATAGATGTAACAGTATATCAACAGGAAATTGTCAGAAATTCAAGTGGATTCAGAAGAGGATTCATCGCTGACATCAGATGGATCTTGGCTGAAAACTAAGACTACCAGAAAGATGTTTACTTGTGCTTTAATGACTATGCAAAGGCTTTTGACCATTTGGATCGTAACAAGTTACGGATTACATTGCAAAGAATGAGTATTCCAGAACACTTGATTGCTTAAGAGGAACCTGTACATAGACCATGAGGCAGTTGCCCAGACAGAGCAAGGGGATACTGAATGGTTTTAAATCAGAAAATGTATGCACCAGGATTATATCCTTTGATCACACTTATTCTATCTGTATGCTGAGAAAATAATCCAAGAACTATATGAAGAAGAGTGTGGCATCAGGATTGGAGGAAGACTCAGTAACAACCTGCAATATGTAGATGATACAATCTTGCTTGCTGAAAACAGAATTTAAAATACTTATTGATGAAGATAAAAAATCACAGCCTTCAGTAGCCCTTTCACCTCAATGTAAAGAAAACAAAAATCTTCACAGCTGGACCAATATATAACATGACAAAAGGAGAAAAGATTGAAATCAAAGACTTCATTTTGATTGGATTCACAATCAGCACTCATGGAAGCAGCAGTCAAGAAATTAAATGACATATTGCATTAGGTTAACTGGCTGCATAAGAACTCTTTAAAATGTTCAAGAGCAAAGACATCTGTTTGAGACTAAAGTGTGCCTGGCCCAAGTTGTAGTATTTTCAATTGTCTCATATGTATGTGAAAGTTGGACATTGAATAAGGAAAATCATAGAAAAATTAATACATTTAAGTTATGGTGTTGGAGAAGAATATTAAAAGTACCATGGACTAAGTACAGCCAAAAGCCAGGATGGCAAGACTTGTCTCCCATACTTTGGACATATTATCAGAAGGAACCAGTTTATGGAGAAGGATATCTCACTTGGTAAAGTGGAGGGTCAACATAAAAGAGGAAAACCTCAAATAAGATGAATTGGCATAATGACAGCAACAATGGACTCAAGCGTAACAATTGTGAAGGTATAGCAGGACTGGGCAATGTTTCCTTCTGTTGTATATAGAAAGGGTTGCTATGAGTTGGAACCAATTCCAAGGCAATTAACAACATCGGTAATGTTTTAGAAGAAATATTTTGCTTTGCTTGTAAATCACCCTCAGGTCCTGCAGCTAATTTTGCATGGAATATATTTGTTCCTCAGGTTATTGAAATTAAAACACCCACATTATTTATGCTGATGTAAATAGCCTTGAATTAGAGCATGAACAACAGAAATAACCCTGTTTTACCTCCAACTTTGGAATTATATGCAATTCCGACCCCACACTTGTGATTATTTGCTTGCATGGCAATTTCTCCTGCACATCTGGTCCCGTGTCTGAGAATAAAAAATATATATACAACATAAATAAAGACCAAAAATTTATTTTGAACATGAATCCATGGTACATGGATATATTAGCCTTTTGTCAGTCTTGGTCCTGATGTTCTTCACAACTATATTAGATGAAGTATATGTTCACAAATGTATGTTTACTTGCATGTGATATTAATATCATTATATTAATCATTTTACTTGGATGTGACATAATGTCATAAATATCAAGTTAAAGTTTGCTGAAGATAATTCAGAAATGGTTACATCCACAGGGAATGCTGAAATTCAAGTCACACTCAGACGAGGATGCAGAACAAGGGATATCATCGCTGACAGTACATGAATCTTGGCTGAAAGCAGAGAATACCATAAAAATGTTTACTTGTGCATTGTTGACTATGCAAAGGCTTATGACTATGGATCATAATAATAATAGTGTGAATAATGGATTTCCCAGAACACTTAATTGTGCTCATGTTGATCCCGTACATATACTAAGAGTTAGTTATTTGAAGAGAAAAAGGGGATATTGGACGGCTTAAAATCAGGAAAGGGGTGTGCCAGGGTTATATCTTTTTACCATATATTCAATCTATATGCTGAGTGAATAATGTACAAACTGGGTTATATGAGGAAGAACATGACATCAGATTTAGAGGAAGACTCATTAACAACCTGTGATATGCAGATACAACCTTGCTTGCTGGAAGCAAAGATTACTTGAAGTAATTACTGAAGAAGTTCCAGTATGAATATCACCTAAATGTAACAACAACAACAGAAAACAATCCCCACATCTGGAACAATAAATAAAATCATAATAAACAAAGAAAAGACTGACGTTGTGAAACTTCATTTTGTTTGGGTCCATAATCAATGCTTATGGAAGCAGCAGTCAAGAAATCAAATAATGTGTGTCGTGTTAGGCAAATCTGTTGCTGAAACTATTCTTTGAGCCAATTCAGAATCTGCTTTTGAAAATGACACGATAAGCAACTATCACTCAGAGTTCTCTTGATTATCAACCAAAAAAGGAGGCATCCCTTTCATTTATCAGAAAGTGTGGTGCTGTAGGATAAGCACTAGACCACAAGGTTGATTTGAACTGCAAGGTGGCAGTTCAACCCCACCAGCCGCTCTGGGGAAACCCTATACAGGGTCGCTATGAGACGGAACCAACTTTACACCATTTAAAAACAAAAGCAATAAAAAGTAGCTTTACCCTTCTAGCATGTTGTCACAAGAAATAAATCCCTTACACTTGAGAAATGAATGACTTCATTTATATTAGCCTTTCAATAGCAATTGGAGACTAACCCTAAATTTCAAGGGCATTATCTCTCCAAACTATCCGTATTGCTACTGTTGAGAACAATTTTGGGTAAAGTTCATAACCAGTTTAAACACCAAATTCTACCACTAAAGCATCAATTCTAAAATTCTGGCAATAATAATTGTCTTTTTCCATCCCATCCATAGAAGAACTGATGCTTTTGAGTTAGTTATGGTATTGGTGGAGACTATTGAAAGTGCATGGGCTGCCAAAAGAACCAACAGATCTGTGTTGGAGGAAGTGCACCCAGAGTGTTCTTTGGCGGCCAGGATGGCCAAACTTCATCTCTCATACTTCAGACATATTGGCAGGAGGAACTAGTCATTGGAGAAGGATATCATGTTTGGTAGGGTGGAGGGTCAGGGAAAAAAAGGAAGACCCCCCCAGTGAGATGGCAGCATCATTGGGCTGAAGCGTGGCAATAATTGTGAGGTGGGCCCAGGACCGGGCAGTGTTTCATTCTGCTGTGTATAGGGTCTCTATGGGTTGGTACTGACTCGATGGCACCCAAGAAAAACAACAACTCTGATCTCAGCAGGGCCAAAAAATCAGGATCACATCATATGAATTTTCTTGTTTCATGATTTTTTCCATTGTGGAAGCATCTGGGAGAAGTTGGAGGTTGTTGGTGGCTAGGAGGACCCTTTGATCAGATAGGTCCCCTAGGTCAAGGGGAAATAGGAAGCATGGTTAACTCTGAGAAACTGTGTTTTAACAGTTACTGTTAAAAACTACTACACTGTCTAGCTATTAATTTAGTACAGCATGAAATATCAAAATTCTAAATTGACCGAACCATTCAAAGCAATTATTTCTTTTGTCTTTTTTTTTTTTTTTTTTGAGGTACAAATACTGATTTCCTGTTCTTCTTCCACTAAGTGATATTCTTGCTCCTTCATGGTAATATTGAAGTCTTAAGTCAGATCAATATTGTTGTTGTTGTTAAGTGCTGTCAAGTTTGTTCCAACTCATAGTGGCACTGTAGAAGTTTTCCAAGGAGCAACTGGTGAGTTTGAACCACCAACCTTGTAGTTCAAACAGACTTTTCAGTACAGAGCATTAATCCACATTGGCACATCAGGACTCCAAGTCAGATCAATATAATTATCATTCATTGTTCATTGGTCTTCTGTGAAACAGCAGACATTTGCTTCTTTTTTGGTCCTTTGCAGTTTTTCTCTTTTGGAAAGTGGCCTTCTTTAACTCTTTGTGATTCTTACAGTTCTGGAGCCTTCTTCTCAGAGTGTTTTCAAGGATTGATGCAGGTTTAGGGAAACAGAATTAAACTCTTCCTCAGGAATCTTGAACTTAAAAGTGCCATGTGAGCCATATGAATCTTGCTGCTAAACAAGACTCTGTCTAAGAATGAAAGTAAATGAAGGGGAGCTACACTAGATGTTGAAGAGAGTAGTTGCTGCCCAGATGACCTATTACTCAAGCTCCTAGATCTGGTGATGCCTGAAGCCAAAAAATTCTTGGGAGAAGTAAAAAAAAAATTAAATCCCATCTTTAACTTTAAGTCAGGATTCTATCAGCAGCAAATAAAGCTTTTCGGAACAGCATACCCATTCTTTGACAAAAGTGGTCACATTTTATGCTTCCTTGATAAATGTGCCCTTTTTATCTTTGAAGAAGGAGAGTCAGTCTTCATCCTTTGAGATATGTGCCTCAAATTCACCACTGTCTATATTCCCATTTCCACACAATGGGAGACAAGGCCCACAATAGCCAAACTATCCAGTGATGTATCCAGCCTGAGTCATCAGAATCACTCTATTGGCAGATAAACTCAGCATTGTGTCTCTGTCCTGAAAAGGATTTAATTGACACCATCTACTATTTATCTTTGTTTATATACAGAGGACTGTTTTTAGTGAAAGTGTCATGGGACATATATGCGTCCTCGCTTCCTAGCTCTACACCTTAAGAAAAAAGGAAGAGTTTTTCCAAAATGGTCTGTTATTCTTTATAGACCTGAAGCTCTTTTTATTTCCTTAAACCAGTCACTGAGAATAAAAGAATCCTCTATTATTTTAGAACAATGGTAGTAGCTCACATTTAAACAAATTGATTTTTTTAGAAATTATCCCATAAGATAGTTTAAAGACTACTATTACATGGTTAAACTATCCTTGTCACACATGTTATTTAGTAAGAAAAATAATCCATAATTGGTGTTGAAATACTGAATGCAGATTCATGCCAGCTTAATAGTAAGAGTTACTGTGTTTTTAAGGTTTCATTATTCAGTGATTCTGCTTTTGATTTTCAGAGGAGCATTAAAAACACTGCTCACATTAATCTCATTTACATAGTAATAAAAACAGCAGCAACACAGATAGTTTGGAGAGATTAGACCTTGGAATGGGGATAATAGGTCTCCAATTGCTATAAAAAGGCCATTATAAAATGAAGTCATTCATTTTCCAAGTGTAAGGGATTTATTTCTTCTGACAACATACTAGAAGGGCAACTCTACATTTGATTACACCTTCTGATAATTGAAAGGGATGCTACTCTTTTGGTTGATAGTCAAGAAGCCTTTGAGTGATAGTTGCTTATTGTGTCATTTTCAAACAGCAGATTTTGAATTGGCTCAGAGGATTGTTTCAGTTTCGGTTCCTGAGGGATGATATTATCCTAGTCATGATGATTTCTCTCTGAAAGTAGGGTCTACATCAGCAGTTGATCATTGTACTTATTATCCTCATCTTTATAGAAACACTTAACTTTGTTCTAAGTACCAGGCACTGTCCTACTCATTACATATATAATCTCATTTAATCCTCATAATCACCCAATGAAGTAGATACTATTACTTTCCCTTTTTTTATAGATGTTAAAACTTAGGCACGAAAAACTTAAGTAATTTGCTCGATGTCACTCGACTATTAAATGGCAGATCTGAGACTTGCTCTAACTCCTACTCCAAAGTTTGTGTTCGTAACTTGAAGTTGTATTACACGAACTATATGTTATTTGAAAATTCCATGGCAGGCTTTGAAGGTCAGAGTTTTCAGGAACAAAATAAGTATCACTGGCCACGTTCAATAGACTCCTATCAACCTAGAGTGAGACCTCGTTGGCCAGCAGTATAGCAAAACCTGGGGACTGATGAGCCCATGTACAAGGACATAGCCACAGAGCACTAGAGCAGAGAGTGAAGTGTCCTTATATGAAGCGAGGAGAAATGCACAAGAACACCCATACTTGTGGATAATACCCATTTGACCTAGCTTCAATAGCTGGATGATCAGAACTGACTAGAGGAAGAAAGAAGAGAGAAAAAAGTGTAATCCATTACAATTTGATGAACTTGGCCTATACTTATGGATATAGTATCTTAAAAGGAGCTCTGGTAGCGTAGTGGTTACGAATCAGGCTACTAACCTCAAGGTTGGCAGTTCAAAACTACCAACTGTTCCATGGGATAAAAATGTGGCTTGCTACTCCTGTAAAGATTTACAGCCTCGGAAACGCTGTACAGGGTCACTAGGAGTCAGAACCAACTCCATGATACTTAACAACATCTTAAAAGATGGAATGAATCTTTACAGCAAGGATCACTCCCATCCCCTCTGTACACAGGGTTGACAGGGATAGGCAACTTAGACATTGGCTGCCCAAAATGGCAGGGAAGTGGGGGGAGGGGGGGAAGCACCTACAAAGGCACCAAGTGACTGGCTTATAAGTTTTCAAGAGTGAGCTTAATTTCAGAGGGTGTGGGGGAAGATAGAATCTCCACTGAGTGGTTTCCAACCTGTTTAGACAGGGCTAGTGAAAGGAGTTGGAGATAAGACTCTTGTGGTTCAATAGTGAATAACTGCTATCAGGACTGATTGTGAATGTTGTGAATGTAAAGGTAAACATTTTGTAACAAAAGGAGGGGAGTGGTTGATCTTGCAGTCCAGGAGTGGAGGACCCTAGGACCATCAAGGGAGAAGAGCGAAGTGGGGCACCCTATCCAGAGAAGCAGTGACGCCAGAGATGGAGGCAGAGATGATGGCATGGAGAGATGGAGTGGCTGGGGACTCTAGAATCAAGGAGGGAGAGGGGCTGTGTACTGGCAGCTGGAGGACTGGCTTGCAGCATTTACCCTTTGGTTGTTTGGTTCCATATCCCTGAGTGCTTCAGTGTACATTAAACCAAACAAAACTAAAACAAAAACATAGGAAATGGAAGCAAATGCTGTTGAATGGAGGGGATTGTAATCATTGCAATGAAATGAAATATGATAGGATGAATGTAAAGCTGATATTCTCACATGTAAATGATCACTCAATTCACAATAAAAACTTTAAATAAATAAGTTTCATTATATATATATATATGGGCCATATATTATATGGTCTGTTTCCTTGGCATGTTGGAGCTTCCTGAGTTGGGGGGAATGTGGTTATTATAAATGCAGTGAGATTCATCCTTTTTCAAGAGAGAAACTGGGTGTCTGAACTTTCCTTGTAACACTTATGAGTAGAGAAAACTACAGAGTATCATTTCACCAAATATTCACCTATCACACAGCCAGCAACCAAGTTATCACTCAGCGTACAGTATCTGGGAGGAAGATGACAGCTCCAGCTAACAGTCACCTCAACTGCTCCCATGTGGTTGATAGAAAATTTCCTTCTCAGTCTTGACCAAGGGGATCGAATGAAAGTGGTAGTTTTTGGTGTTTTCCTTCTCCATTCTAAGAAAAGTGCTCCTCTCTTCCTATACTTTTCACCTATTTCCTCAGGAAGTTTCAGAAAAATAATCATGTTTCTTATCACCCATTTCAGGGGGAGAGGAGAATACAGGAAGTTCCTAGGCTATGAGCATTCTGCTTTAGAACAACCGGAGTCAACCTCTGCAAAGCCTATTATAATATAAATTTGAAGTGTTACTTTGCACCTCAAAACATCCTTCTTTGTCTTATATTATTAAAGTATTATGTTGAAGATGGTTTAGAGTATCTGGAAGCGTTTCTTTAATAGTTTTAATGCATACAGTGACACACTATATGCTAAATACTAAGACTAACATTTGACTAACTTATGTTAGGTACAGATTGTTCTGATTTATCTACAAACTCAACTTAAGACAGACTTAGGAACAGAAATCATTAGTAATCCAGGGACTGCCTGTACAGGCAAAGAGAAGTAAGTGATTTCCCCAAAGTCACCCTCTATCCTAGTACACAACAGAGTCATGACTATGCTGTTGTTAAGTGAATTCGAGTCGGTTCCAACCCACAGTGACCCTGAACAGGGTTTCCAAGGCTGTAAATCTTTATGGGAGCAGAAAGCCTCATCTTTCTCCTGTGGAGCAGCTGGTAGTTTCGAACTGCTGACCTTGCGGTTCACAGCCCAATTTGTAACCACTACACTATCAGAGCTCCTAAAACTAGCCAAACTAAAATTACAAAGCCTGTGTTCCTAAAGAGCAGATGCTCCTGTAGGTCCTGGACCACTGTGGCTCTTAAATACTATAAAATAAAATAACTCCTGAAACACTCCTACTTTCCTCCAAGGGTGCCCCATCTAGTGTTTCCTTTTGTATTGTTACTGGAATGTTCCAACCTCAAGGAAGTTCTTAAGATTAACATCTTACTGAAAAACTTAAAGAAATAAATGAGATTGAAAGAAATGCTATCTCCCCAAGGGAAAAAATATATATACACCCAAAAGGTGAGGACAATTCAGTGTACTCTTCTCCATTCCTACATTCCACTTGGCAGTCTGGAAGGGAGACCATTCAAGCAAAGAAACAACTTTATGCCAACACTGCGCCAGCTACATGGGAGTTCTGAAGAAAAGAAGAAAGAAAGAGAGAATGTGGTTGTCCCAAGTTGGTTGGCTGGTTAATAGTTTCATAGAGTCATCCACAGAGAAAAGGGAAGTACTATACAACAATCATGAAGAGATTTTCATTACTTTGCTCTTTTCATTCCCATTTTTAAACACTGAGCCCTCAGTTTGACCTTTACTTTGATCTATTTTTGTGCAACCTTCTTCTGGGAGGAGCAATGAAGAGAAAATTTTGAATGTTTCCTCAAAATCTGTGAGGAATTTCACTATGAAAGAAGATGAAGTCTTACATGGGCTTGGATACTTAGAGGCCAAGGGCTTAGAGGGTAAAGTTTTTTGGGGGCTGGCAAATAGTGTTCACATTTTTATTTTAAAAGTGCTTAAGAGAATCTTTCTTTGGCTTCTAAGAAGTTTTTTAACTGTGGAAGGTCTGGGTCTTGGGCTCCCTCTTTATCTGCGGCTGCTACAGAGAGATGGCTCACTTAGTTGCTGCCTGTCTCTTCCCTTTTTTATAATATCCAACAGGCACTCTGAAACAGGTAGTTAACTAGTCCAATGCCCTGGAGACTGTCTTTGTTTTGGGGGTCATACTTCAGACTATGTTTCTTTTGTTTTGTCTGCAAGCTCCTCTGGGGTTATCAGTGAGGGTGGTTGTGACATCAGTATTTATGTTCAAAACTAACATCAAACATATTGTTAATAATGAACTATTCATAGAGGAATTGTTATATATGGGGAGGGGGTGGCTCAAGGTTTTTATTCTTTTTGTTTCAAACATTCTGTCTATTATTGCAATGATTTCAGTAACACTTGAATGGAGAATTTCATAACAGAAGAATAAAATTTAATTGAAATATGACAGTATAAATAAAAGGAGTATAAAAATAGAAGCTTTTGTTTCCATTTTAAAAACAAAATATTGTGATAGGGATGATATGTATTAACATTTTCTGAAAGCTGAATGTGCATCACATTTATAGTGTAATTTTCTCAAATAAGATAGAAGCATTTTGAAGTACTTCATTTTCAAAAACATGCATTTACTCACTTGTTCTCATTTGTGGGATCATATCGGGGAAATGGATCATGGTCATTATCATTAAAATCATAGCTAGCTTCTGGATCCTAAAGAGACAACAGAAACAAACACTGTCACATCATAATAATAGCAGCATTTCCCAAGCCCTATTCCTGTTCTGGAGTCTTGATGTGGTGCTGTGGGTTAATGTGCTGGACTATAAGGTGGGTTTGAACTGCACAGCCGGTGGTTCAAGCTCAACAACCGCTCTTTGGAAATCCTGTGCAGGGTCGCTATGAGTTGGAACTGACTCAAGGGCACTTAAAACAACAACAACAACATTCCTGTTCTGAGCAATAGCAGCTCAAAGGTCTGCATTTCAGTGTGTCTGACACAGACACTGATCCTTTATTGCACCCATTACCCAGGCAAAGCCATCAGCACAGCAAAGATGAGCAAGCATCCAATTCTTAATGAATGGAAATGGACCTAGAACTCATGGAGGCCCAGAGTAGTTAAGAGACTTATCTAAAGACAGAGTTAGCAACAACTTGAATCATTAATCTATTAGTACTGCTGCAAAAAGTTGTGTGGGAGCTAGACCCTACCTCTACTATGATCATCTTCAACCCCTCCAAACCAGGAAAATAAGAGTCTACTGCCATTGTGTCAATTCCAACTCACAGTGACCCTGTATAGGATTTCAGAGATTGTAAATCTTTAGGGAAACAGAAAGCCTTATTTTCTCCTACAGAGTGATTGGTAGGTTTGAACCACTGACCTGCAGTTAGCCCAATGCCTAACTCACAGTTCCACCAGAACTCCTTTCAACCCCACCAGGCACCCTAAATAAGCATGTAATTTAAGTAGAGAATGTTTAAAATTCCAGACAGGCTTCCAGGTCCACTCACTTTTCTAAACAGGCTGCTACTCTTAAACATCTCTCGTATAGGATATCTATCCTTATTAATTTTGCTATTTCACACATAGTTCGCTATTTCTCAATATAGTCTTTATCTTTCAATAATTGCTATTTTCGACTCTATGCTGGAGTCCTTGTGTGGTGCTGCAGGAAAATGCACCAGACCACAAGATCGGTTTGAACCACAAGGTTGATGGTTCAAACCTACCAGTCACTCCTCAGAAACCCTACACTGTATCACTATGAGTCAGAACCAACTTGACAGCACTTAACAACAACTCAGAAGCAATTTTGCAAGCTTCTCCTTCCCTTTTCCTTGGTTGTTTAGCTTTGTATCATGGCTGGTGCATGTTGGGTGGGCAGAAAGGGTTAGAAAGACAAAGAACAATCTTAAAGAAGGAACATCCGTCTTCCTAATTGAAAGAACTAAGATATATTATAGGGAACTTTATAAACAATTACACAACTAGTTTGCATTTATTTGCGCATTTCTAGTAGTTTTCCCTTCTCAGCCTGCACTATATGGCGTACACTTTGAGTTTGCAAGAAGGGAATCACATTTACAGAACTTCATAATATCAGAGATAGTGAGCCATAAGATGTGTGAAATGTCAGCCTATGAAAATAGTCTCAGGTATTAGGCTTGATTTGATGAGATTGAGTGGCTCAGAGCCTGAATGAATCGGATAATTTAAAGGGTTTTGTGCCTGCTGCCTGCCCCCTCCTTCCCACACATGTTTATGCAATCCTTGGTGCTATTGAATTGTTTCAATGTACACTGGTACAAAATAAGTTCATATAGTCTGCCAGAAGAGTGAAAGAAGGGATGAAACTTTGACTTTTCATTATTGCAACTGAAGTCAAAACAGCTTCCTGTTTTTAAGGAAAGAAAACTCTTAATTTTGTGTTTGTGTTTGTGTAGAGAGCTCCCTCAGTCATAGTCATGGGAAGACCCAGACTCACATAATTGGCATAGATATCCGTGTGATTCCACTCCAAGCCATCATCCAGTACAGTGATTACAACTCCTTTGCCCGTGATGCCTTTTTGCCACACTGGTATCACATGGAGGTCTAGTTTGGGCAGAACTGCAGTCATCCTGGTATCTTGCTGGTAAAGAAAATCAATGAAGCATTGGTGAAGTCATAGTCTGCTTGTCACAAAATGAGAACTTAAGCATAATCTATAGATCCACATTTCCTTTTCCTGGGATCACTCTACTCTTTAAAAGAAGGTAATTAGGAGAAATTTAAAAACAAAACAAATTTTGGGAATTGGGCCAAGTGCTTAGTTTCCCACTGTGATGAGTTAACCTGTGCCCCTTTTATTTGAGCTATGTAGCTTTGAAGAAGTTTGTGTCTAAATTTTTTCATCTGTAATAACATGACCATTTTCTGAAGCTTTATTTTATCTCCCATGTTTCTACCTCCCCAAAACTCCTGAGCCTTCATTGCCATATTGAGCTCACTTTATATTGTCTTGTACACAGTCATTGCCAGATGTTGTTTCCTTAGTTATTTTACTTTAAAAAAAAATAAAATAGAAACTGGAAAGTCCAGGAGATTGTGGTCTCACAAGGAGTTGCCATTTAATTGCCTATTCCCAATTATGAGTGCTTAAAGGAGTAATTTCCTGTCAGAAAAGATTACGGTTTTCTTCTTCGGATATTTTTTCTGGTTTTACAATCAGTAGGACTATGGAAAACAAGACCTGTGCAGCAAGGGAACAAGATAAAGGAACATTACCTAGTGTGTGAGACACAAAAGAAAGGTGTCTGGTTCCTGAAAAAAGGGTTCATATTCAATTTATAAATAACAATAATCAAAAGTGTCAAAAAGTAACTTGACCCAGTGCTGGTATTTCTCAGAAAGCAGTGTGGATAAACATGACCACAAAGATTACAATCTTCAGTACAATTTGCACCTCAGTGTAAAGAAAACAAAAATCCTCACAACTGGACCAATAAGCAACATCCATATAAATGGAGAGAAGATTGAAGTTATCAAAGACTTCATTTTGCTTAGAAAACCAAGATTAAGGGAAGCAGCATGCAAGAAATCAAACAACTGCATTCATTAGGCAAATTTGCAGCTCAAGACCTCTTTAAAGTGTTCAAGAGCAAATATGTCAGTCTGAGGACTAAGGTGCACCTGATTCAAGCCATGGTATTTTCCATAAACTCATACGCATGTGAAAATTAGACAATGAATAAGGAAGACTATAGGAGAATTGATGCATTTGAGTTATGGTGTTGGAGGAGAATATTAAAAGTACCATGGTCTGCCAAAAGAACAAACCAACCTGTGTTGAAAGAGGTATAACCAGAATGCTCCTTGGAAGCCAGGATGGCCAGACTTCGTCTTTCATACTACGGACATATTATCAGGAGGAAGCAGTCAACGTAGAAGGGAGGGTTTGGTAAAGTGGAGGGTCTGAGAAAAAGAGAAAAAGAGGAAGACCCCTAACAAGGTAGATTGGCACAGTGGAAGCAACAAGAGGCTCAAATGTATGGTAAGATTCGAAGTCCTGGTGTGGTGCTGTGGGCTAATGCGCCAGACTCCAAGGCTGTTAACTGTAGAGAGGAAAGCCTCATCTCTCTCATGCGGAGGGCCTGGTGGATTCGAGCTGCTGACCGCGGGGTTCACGGCCAGATTTTTAACCACTACACTACCAGACCTTCCACCTTCAAGATGGCGGATCGTGTAGACACGTAGTGAGGAGCTCGGTCAACAACAACAGGGAATACCGGGCCAAGAGGGCTCATGAGACGGTGTTGGAACTCTGGAACAAATATAAAGGTATGCTGGGGAATTTGCAGGAGAATCCAGAAATCCATTATTTTCTGGATCAAGACACTCAGCTGTTCTAGGAGCCGCCATCTTGGGAGAGCATATTTTGATTGTATCAGGATTGATAGGAATAGGAGAGAACATCTTGATTGTATTTTGATTATATCAGGATTGTATCAAGATTGACATTGAAATTTAAAGAGACAGTATAGACATTAAAACCAAACGGCCACCACTCATCTGTCTGTCATACTGTGGTGGTTTAAGTTGCTGTGATTCTGAGGGCTCTGCCACGGGTATTTTAAATCACCAGCGGGGTCACCCATGGTGGACAGGTTTCAGATGAGCTTCCAAATAAAGACAGACTAGGAAGAAAGAGTGACAAACTACTTCCAAATCACTAGTCACTGAAAACTCTATGAATAGCAGAGAAACATTGTCAGATACAGGACCAGAAGGTGGGAAGGCACTCAGAATGTGACTGGGGAAAAGATGCCTCCTCAAAGTAGAGTTGACCATGATGGCATGAATAGAGTTAAGCTCGGGCAAGAAAAGCTCACAGAACCTTCATTTGCTGATGGGCCACAAATCAAAATGAAGAGAAACAGCTGTAAACATCCATTGATAATTGGAACATGGAATGTCGAAGTAGGAATCTGGGAAAATTGGAAGTGTAAAAAATGAAATGGAACACATAAAGATCGATATCTTAGGCATTAGTGAGCTGAAATGGACTGGTATTGGCCTTTTTGAATTTGACAACCACATGTTTTACTATGCAGGGAATGACAAATTGAAAAGGAATGGTGTTGCATTCATCGTCAAAAAGAACATATCCAGATCAGTCATGAGGTACAATG